TATTGTATTGTATTGTATTGTATTGTATTGTATTGTATTGTATTGTATTGTACTGTACTGTACTGTATTGAATAAATAATAATGTATCTTGTTTTAAAGCCAGTTTGAACATCTGGTGTATCCCATTTCAGGTTGGGCTCTGATTTGCATTGGATGTTTCTTTGGTATTGATTGATATGTAGATTCACCTCTTCTAATTTGTTGGCCACTGGGTCATTTTCTAGATTTACTGCCATGGTTTGGTTAGAATTCTCCTCCTTCTCCCTATGTAGAGTTTCTATCAGAGTAGCTGACTTGACAATGTCTAGAGTGCTGATCTAACCTCTTTTTCTTAGCTATCTTAGATAACTTCAAACAATATATCATTCTAATGTACTTTTCCATTTTTCTTTGACAGTTATTATTTGTCCATTGGTTTCCTTTAGGATACCAATTTGAGACTGGAAACTCTTGATTTTAGAGATCTTTTGAAAAGCTGTACTTGTTGATATATCTATAGATATTACATACAGATTAAAATACAGATATTTTAATGTCTTCTAGCAGCTTTCTGAAGTTGTTAAGTTTCTCTTTGGGACCTTTTCCCTTGTTGGCTTTGGATTCTCTTTTCCTCTTAGTAATTTCTATTATTGTTCTGAATCCAGTCTGCTTTCTTTCGTTTCTTAGTTTTTGTCAGTATTCACATTCTTCCTTAAAATCTATTTGATTTCATTTCATAATTACAGAGATTCTTTCTCAGTAAATCCAGGACTTCAGAGAGATTCCTGCCTGAATATGGTGGGTATATGTTTGAGTTCATATAGAAACTGGTTGATTTATTCTTCTATTTTAGCTTGACTTGGAATTTGTGCATGAGCGAACTGTGCTCTGTTCCACAGAAAGTCCCTGGCCATATCTTTGCTTCTGTATCTGAGTCTTTCATTTCTGTATACAGTTAATTTGATTTCCTTGAGTCCCTATCTAATGATAACTATTTATGTGGGCATTATTTTTAATATACAACCATTAAATATCTTATTTAGATGCATTCAATTGTTTAAATATAACTTGTTTAATATAATTATGAAACTCAGAACTGAATTTGTTGGGAAGAGAAAAGAATTGGAGAAGACTGGCTAAAGGTAAAATATTTTTTTTTCTTTGAGTCAAGCTCAACTGCTAGTAACTCCCATGTAGTTTTCTTAGCAACAACAAGTTCCTTTTTTTTCATTTCAGTATTTTGATTTTTACTTCCCAATCCAGTATTTTTCTAGTAGCTTCCAATTCAATAATTAAACAATATTGATTAATTAGGTGCTGCTAAAAAGTTGAATGGCAATCTATTTCAGCAATTTAATTTTAATCATATCCTTAGAAAATGTAAGAATGGATGTTAGTATAGATCCCCTCCTTTCCCATTCACATTTGAAGAGAAAATGGAATATATACCTTGGCCTGCAAGGAAAAGAAAATTGCAGTTGTTGTAGATCCCTGTTACTACACAATTGTCGAAGCTACTAGAGTCCTGTTTCACCTGAGTTTGCAAATATTATAGATTAGTATAGAATTACTGTTATGCATCTTTAAAAGCAGAATAAGACTCTCACCTCAAGGGAGGTTTCCTTGTAAGCTATATTTGCCACCAATCTTCAAAAGATAGAATTATATATATTCTCTTCCTTGTTTTTAAACTATTTTCTAATAAACTTCTTCAATGTGGAGAGAGAGAGAGATCGGGGTTATTCCTCATTTTATGCTCAGAAAACAAGCATGGGGCTGGTTATGACCGATACAGATCCCCTAGGGAGCTCTCTAATCATGTGTGAAGTTGAACTAAGATCTCCATGGTCACTGCTCTCCAACCAAAAAACCTCCCATAAATGTGGAAGATTGAGTAAGGTGGTGTAAATCTTTGTAATACTAAAATCTGTTCTGTAACTTTGCTGGTTAAACATAGTCAGCTAACCTGCCATTAAATGCTGACAGGCACCCAAGTATAAGTATAATCTTTATTGTCATTGTACTTAAATACAACGAAATTGGTTTTAACCTCACTAGTGCAAAACTATAGCAGAAACGAAAAAAGAAAGAAAAAAAACTAGCGTGTGCATGGAGTGATTATGGTTGTATTTAAAAGCCTGCCCAAGGATAGAAATTATCTTTAAACCTATTTGTTCGTCTGGCTATACTTTGATGTCTTCTGCCCAATGGTAGAAGTAAAAAGAGACACTGACCAGGTGTGAATCATCTCTGAGTATCTTCNCCAGTGTGATGTCTGGTGTATTATGCGCCAGTATTTTGTCGGTTTGTATACGGAAATCCCACAAGATCTTGACCATCTGATTTTCGGTGACTTGGGTGGGGCCCGACTAGTAACCAATGCCAAATCTGGCGAAACAACTGGCCGCTGTGATACAATTGTATAATAATAATAATGGGTGAAGGGACATGAAGATATGCCCCGCTACCTGGTGATATGATTAGGAATATGGTTGGGGTTGAAATGGGAACGGTTGGTTTAGCATGGTAATGCTGTTTCTGCTGAAAAGTTCTGCAACACAAAGGCCCATCCAGGAACTGATTTAATTAATTAGGAAAAGCTCAGTAGTATAGCAGAACTGGAAAATCCATAGTGTGTCCTTCTTTAATGAGATCCAGTTAGCTGTTTTCCTTGTTGGTTTTCTCTCAAGGATAAGACATCCCTGTGATTCCCTTTTGAGGTGGACATGCAGATGAAATTAATCATAGTGCAACCTACCTCTTTGTGAAAGTTTTCCTGAACTGACAAGTGAATCATTTAACTATTGATTGATTTGATTACGTGCCATTCAATCAACATAGATAGACCTTCCCAAGATGATTTGTTCCTAACCTGGCCGTTCAGGACTCCCAACAGTGAACCCATTGTCACTGTAGTCATGTCTTCTACCTTGCTACTGGTTTTCCTCTTTTACTCGTTCTTTCCAGATTTCCCAGCATTATGGACTTTTTAAGGGAGCCAAGTCTTTGCATGACGTATCCAAAATATGTTAATTTGAGCCAGGTTATTTGTACCTCAAGTGAGAGCTTGGGACTGATTTATTATATAATGCATGTTTTTGTTTCTTGACTGTCCATGATATTTGCAGTTCAAAAGCTGTTTCTATTTTGTTTCTTCAGAGTCCAACTTTTGTTTTCATGCAGTTTACAGAAAAAACCATTCTGAACTTTGTAGGTATAGAGATGTCACAACATCTGAATATTTTTTCCAAGCCTTTCATTGCTAACCTGCCAAGTGTTGTTGTGTATTTCTTGACTGCTGATTAATTGTCAGTTCTAAAAAGAAGCTACCCACCAATCTTCTTTGTCAGTTCCCAGAATGGTTTGGTTGTATTTTTACATGTAACTGTTATCTCATTTCTTGACTGTGACTTTCTGTTCTGTGTATATGTTTGCATCAGATGTAGAGAGCTATAAAGGTGACTTTGAAGGAGTGATGCAGAAAGTTATAAAAAGAAACATTTGTTAAGCATGAGAAATAGGGAAAACATTTGAAAGAAACTCGCACTGGTGATACCCTAATCAAGTGGTATAAAAGAGGGAAGAAAAGAAAACATAGGGAGGCTTTCAAGATTCTTTTACTATAGCCTACACCAATAAAGAATAATTACCAGCAAACTTGTGAAATATATTTCCTAACCTGGCCTGCTTTGAAGAGATAACACATGAACAATAAGGTGCTCTAGTATTCCAATTTTCTTAAGGACATTCCACAACTTGACATGGTTGATACAATTTAAAGACATTTCTATCAAGAAAGCATATATTGACCTTGGTGTTGTTTTGCATTCTCAATTGCCCATTGTGAATTACAGAAACTTGGTGGGATGAAACCGACAAATGGAAAATACAGCTAGAAGGATTTAAATTATTTAAAAGAAATAGANCGCTGCGCGGCCCGGTTCCAGGTACTCCACGGCCCGGCACCGGTCCGCGGACCGGGGGTTGGGGACCACTGCATTAGATGACAGCAAAGAATTAAATTTTTCTGTATTTTCTTTGCTGCCACCTAGTGATTGCCATTTTTTTGTTCCTCAAATTTGGTAGCTCCAAACAATACGCTGTCCTATTGGAATGTTATTTTTTTACTACATTCATGTACTTGTTGCATATATAATTTGCATTTCATTTAAACAATGTAACTGATTTAAATAGATTTTTCCCTACCTCTGTTATTCCTCCTTCTTCCCCATTTTATTTTTGCTCCACAGCTAAGCTGGTAGGTTTAAGAGGTTGTAATTAGTCAAAATCAACCTGTGAGCTTCATTGCAGAACTTGAATTCGTTCTTAATCACTAGCCTCATCATTTTACTCTTATCCTTATCCTTAATATTGTACACTAATTCATATTATTTATTAAATAATAAACCCACTAAAATAAAAGGTTGAAACACTATGTCATCTGTAAAATGCAAGTTTTCTGTATTAGAACTCCAATTGGCAGTTAAAGTTGCCAGAACAGTCCCCCAGCATCTCATTATTTAATACTTTTCTGTAAAGTAAGCCATTCATTTTATAAAGATTATACCCATAAAATTTATATTCTACTGGCTATTTTTAACTTTTTAGACTTATTGCCATTCCTTTCTCTGGATCACTTTATTTTGCACCATGTTATTATTTATTAGTTTTTCTAGTTACAATATCACAATATTATACATTAAGTTCTAACTCAGGATATTTGATCTATTCGAGCTTGAAACATTTTGAAATAATATTAATTCCCAAGGGTCTACCTGAAGCCAGTTAGGGGAACTAAGATGATTAAATATCTTTTTATTTGTGCTGTCAGTAATTTAATTTTAGTATGTCCTGTCTTTCAAAGTTACTAACTGATTAATTAGAATAATATAGATTTAATACAGTTTTCTTTAGAAATAGAAAAATATGCCAGAAACTGAGGCTTGTCAAGACTACTCAGTAACACATTGTAAAAAAGAATGCCCATATTGGAAAAAAACCTTAACTTTTATTATGAAAGAGTAAAGAACCAAAATAGTCTTCCAAAATAAGACATGTAAGTAAATTTACTATTCCACAATTTAAAATGCATTTCCTTTAATTTCAGTTAGCTTCCATGTGACTAGGATTAAAACCAACATTCTTCATTTTATTTTTCATAAATTATAGCTAAATAAAAGGCTCATCTTCCATTTTTTTAAACAAAGAAGACAAGCGATTCTGGACATATAAAAGTATTCTTTTTTTTTTTTTGAAAAATTGTGTAGATTGTAGCCTTCCAAATAGCTAAAAAAACAACAACCCTGTCCCAACTGTTATTTTTAATAAGACAAAAGATGAAAATGAATTCCTTGGGGATAATTATAATAATTGTCAACTGTGGAACAGAAAACTTTAGCATGCTATCCAAATATCAAATACTGATCTTGCTTTGCTTTGCATAATATTCAGAGATATTGTACATACTCTTTGTTGTAGGAAAGTCCAAAAAAGTTGGGAGCTGTGGCATAGCTGCCATATTGTGTTATTTTACCCACCCTGTTAAACTTTGTTATCTTCTTACAGTGTTCTTCTGATCCAAAGTGCAATTGCTTGTTTTACAATTGTCTAAAAATATTTGTAGTTTTTTTGTATTCAGTTCCCCTTTCTCTCCAAACCACTGATGTTACCATCTGCCTCTAATATAGCTGCAGAGAAAAGTAAAAATAACTTCTTGATCTTGTTATTACCTACTTTATTAGCATGACTTCAGCAGTTATAAAGTTTTTGAAAGTCAGAGTTGGCAATAAAAATGCTTTATTATATGGGGTGGACATTAAAGCATATAGAAGGTAAATATACTTTTTGTTATTTATGTTTTCTTTGTGTGTATTAATTCTGCTTAGCTACCCTGACAAGTTCTGGCCCACCCAAGAAACGACACCGAGGATGGTCTCCTGGATCCCCAGCCCTTCCTCCTGGTGTAATTGTGCCTGTTCCTGCTATCCGGCCTCTTCCAAGAGCAGGCAAGATTCTGATATATGTGTGTGTTCAGCCAGTGACCTGGAGATATATATCCACCTTAATCAATTAATTAACTTCTGGAATTGATAAATAGCCTTTGCTATAGCAGCTCAGGTGTACAACAACATCTATCTCCAAATTAGACTCTACTAGAATCTCCCAATAATTTCATGACCAAATGGTGGATATAAATCCAAGTCTCCCAATTGATGTCTGTACAGATTGTATTTAATTTCATCTCAGTAGATTATCAATACATGCATATTACATAAATATCATTCCGACATGGATTTATATATCATGACAGAAACTTTTATTCTTATGGGTCATAAATTAAACTGATAAATGCTATTTAATGCTGTCTCTACTATAGGTAGTCACATCAGCAGTCTTTCTTCCACATGCCCTTTTCCCTATACAACAACTTTATCTAATCTTGTGCATTCCAAATGGGTTGGATGTCATTTGCCTTCATTCTCAGTATAGTGAGTTACAGTCCAGCACACACATCTGGAGGAGAGATATGTAGAGGTCATAGGAAATGGCCTTGAAGGATAGAAAGAAGAGCTGTTACCAAGGCAACAATTATAGGGCTGGGTATCATCTGCAAACTGATGGTACCCCATGCAAAAGGTCAAAATGAGCTTCTCAAGAGATCTGATGTTGATGTTAAATCACATGGGGTGGGACAGCATAGATCATTGACCTAGTTATTAAACAGACTTCCCCAACACCATCTTATGGAAGCATTCTGACAGGAGGAATGAGCACTGCTAACAAAGCCTGATTTTGCCAGATGGCCCAGAAGGACATTGTAGGCACTAGTATAAAAACTTACCAGGAAACCCCAGGGATGGTAAGCTGGGTTGTATTTCCCCCACCTTGCTTTGACCTAGATCATCCATGAAAGTGTTTGCTAGCTGAAATGGGATTACTTTGAAATAAAATGTTAATGGATAACAGTATTCCATACTAGATATTTTTAAAAATGCATATATTTCTCCTGGATAATTACAAACTGTGTATTAAAGCAAAAAAATATGTATGTGGCTTTTTAAAAGATGTGTTTTTTCTCTTACTGTGCTTAATTATTGCAAATCTTTAATTCAGCTTTGCAATAACAGGGTTTATACTTTATATGCTTGAAGTAACATCTTTATCTTTAAAACTCTCTATAGCTCCTTTGTGTCTAAAGTTTTGATTTTATGGAGATTGTGATTAGGATATGATAAATTAAAATTGAAAAAGTCTGTGAGAATGTTTCACTATTTGCATGTGATGTGATAAGTTAGTATTGAATCTGATTCTTTGTATAGGTAACATTTCAATGGAGTCTTTGTAAGCAGCTCTGTTATAATACCTGGCTTTGAGGAAATTGTATAGGCATCATTTCCTCTCTAATTCACCTCCATCAACTACAAACTTAGATTTTTAAAAATATATAACTTCTTTTGGAAGGGTGAGCTAAGGACAGAGCCTTCATGGTTTGAAAGAATTAACTATACTTTCAAAAAGAAATGCAGTGTAGTTTGAATTTTATTATGTTTAATGATTTCTAGAACAAGAATGGGGTTTTTTTAACTGTTAAATTGTTCATAAGGCCAAATCACAGCATGAGTCTTTTTATAATAGATCTGTCCCCTTTCTGTATTTTTATAGAGCCTCTTTTATCTGTCCCAGTTCCGCAATCAATGTTAACTGGAATTTTACAGCCTCAACCCATCCCTGCAGGGGAGACTGTAATAGTTCCTGAAAATCTGCTGATTAACTCTGGAATCAGACCAGTGATTCTAATAGGTAAGATCTCAGATAATGTAGTACAATAATCTACAGTTGTTACTCTCTTGGAGATTTTTTGTTTTGTTTTGTTACTGTTTATTTTTGGATTAAAATTCTGAAACCTAATATTGTAACCAAAAATGATCTTGGTAGAACTACTTTTCCTTGGAGGAAAAAAAATCTTTATGGTCCCAAAGGGATGAAAATGTAATGTGTAATGTACCTGTACTTATATTACATATATTCCATGCTACAGTGTGGCTTGTCATTTGTGCTCTGCTTTCATTCACTCCTTCCAAGAAATAGTAATCTCATTCATACCTATTGAAGTAAAGTATATATTTTAGTGCTAGATTTTAACATTTGTATATAAAACAATAAAATAACAGAATGCTATTTCAGTTTCTGAACTTGAGACATTGTCAAGTTACTGAGACAGAAAGGGTCAGTATACCTAGAAAAAAAGTATATATATATAAAATCTGCAATTATGTCAGAAAAAATCTACAGACAGTATGAAAATATTTTATTGATTACTACTTTAAAAAACTGCATATTGCATGAAGATACAGGTAAAAAGAGCATATAAACAATTCCCCCTATGACTTTTACATTTGGATTTATGGCAATGAACTAATATTGAGATTTAGGAGGGATGTTAGTACTACTGATAGTAGAGAAAGATATCTATTTCTCTACTAATGTTACAACCATTGCTACACTATTGTTCATTTTTGTTAGATCTTAAAATGCATAGATGTCTTTGTCATCTAGGTTTATACAAGTAGTCCTCACTGAATAAATTTGTTCAACAGTTTGAAGTTACGGTGGCACTGAACGAGGAGATTTACTACCAATCCTCATAGTTGCGTCTGTCACAGAATCATTGCAATCATCTGATTACAATTTGAGTACTTGGTAACCAGCTCTTGGTCTAAATTATCATTGTTAAGTAATGGTCTGTAATGGTCTTTACATCCCACCTAAAAAAGAATTTTCCATATTTTTGTGTGAAAGTGTATCTTTATTCCTTGCTTAACAATAATTTTTATTTCATAATGTTAAAAAATTGAAAAACAATTCTGCAGTCATTTGAACTTGTCTTTTTGTTTTTTAAAGGTTATGGCACTTTACCTTATTTCTATGGGAATGTTGGAGACATTGTAGTAAGTCCATTGCTAGTGAATTCCTACAAGATTCCTCAGCTGGAAAATAAAGATTTGGATCTTTTTGGTTTAACTGGGAATCAGTTACTAAGTGTGGAGAACATGATTATTTTAACAATACAGTATCTTGTCTGGCTAGGTAAGACATTAAAAAGTATATTGCTTTGGGGGGGGCGGTGTACATAGATACTATCTCCTACAAATCAGCAGATAATAAACTTTATTTTTTATAATAAGAGATTAATCTTCTGTGGTCAATTTTTGTGAGACTAAGTCTCACAAAAATAAGGACAGGCGTTATTCTGCTCTCATTCTAGGAATATTAACATCTTTTTCATTTTTTTTCAATTTGGGGCAATTTTAAATTATAACTATCTGCTTTCATTGAGAAAGGCTTCACTGCATGAATGGATAAATTCTACTCTGTAAATGTAAGCAAGTAGGGCAGCTTCTACACAAGGTATATTTGCATACAATTCCTATTAAGAAAATAGAAAGGACTTAAAATAAATATGTTTCAGGATAATTTTTTACCTTTTTCAAATTTTGCAACTTCATTAGAGTAAGAACCCAATATGGATTGCTTACTAGTTGCAAATCATTCTGACTCATCGTTGGAATAGCACCAGTGTTCCTTGATGAGTAGTTTCCCTCCCCAATATGGCTAATCTGTATTTGTAAAAGCATTAATGGTTGATGTTGGATACTTGAAATGCCCTTGAACTGTATTGTGAAATCTGCAGCAGACAGCAATGCACATGACTGCATGCACACAAATTATCTTCCTTTTAAGCACATTTTACGCAGTAACATACGTGGGTGCTTTTTTAGCCAAGAGTTTTCACAAATATTTTATAAGAGTTCCTCTCTTGGGAAATAATAATAATTTATGAAGTTCTTGTTTTGAAGAAAAATACAGTGCTTCAAATAACTTTGATTTAAATGGTTAAAGTGTATAATAGAAAATTTAAAAAACACACACTTCTTCACAACCGTTATTATTTACAGCAAATACAATATTTTTATGCTTTGTGTATCTACCTTTGTTGTAAAATTGCACAAGGCAACCATCATTCAGCAGATTCAAGTATTCTTTATCTCTTTTCTCAGTATTTTACTGGTATTCCAGGAGTTTTGCTTCAGGAATCCTGTATTTGGGAAAAGGTGTAAAATCAAAGAAGCAGTTTTGAAAATTGGTATGGATTTGAAAATATATGGCTATATATAAGACTTGGTTCTAACCCTAACTGAAACCTCAGTTGATATAAAAATTATTGAAATCTAACCATATGTTAACCACACTGATGGGAAGACAAATTTTCCCTTGAGTTTTATATAGTACTGTATCATCTGCATTTATCTATGTTTATGTTATTTTTAAAAGAATAAATACCCACAAATCAAAAATATTTGTAAATATTTGATCAAATATTATGGCTGCTTTTCTAGGGAAAAATATGGAAAGTTCCTGTAACAGGACTTTATATTCCTGGTAACTGACAAAGGTCACTCCCTCTCTCCCCTTCTATTCCAAAATAACTGAATGTTTTCTCAAATTTAGGCTAAACGTCACAGGAAACAACTCAGGAAATGTTTTCAGTGTCATGTAACAAGTGGAAAATGAAGATTAAAGAGTTGGATTAAGTGTTTTTTAGGTTTTTTTTTTTAGTAAAAGCAATGTAAAAAGTATATACATGTCTCCATGTATTTACATACATTGCATGTTGCTTCATTTTTTACTAAATGCACACTAACGAGTTTGTTTCCTGTGAAATTCAGATTGCATATTTAAAAGTACAGTCCTGCTCAAAACCACAAACACTGAATTTTGCTACACATCTGATTTTGTAATATGAACTTTCTCTTTCATATTAAATGGTACATATTACAAAATCAGATGTGTAGCAAATTTCAGTGTTCATACTTTTACTGTAATTACTGTACTTGTAAATGTGCAATCCAAATTTCACAGGAAATTTTTTTTTCGTAATATGGACTTTCTCTTTTTGGGCTGGGGCACAGTGACTCAGCAGTTAAAGATGCTGAGCTGGTCAGCTGGAAAGCTAACAGCCTGTGTTCAAGACCCAAGTGCTGCCCAATGGGGTAAGCTCCCGTTCCTGCCCCAGCTTCTGCTCACCTAGCAGTTTGAAAGCAAATGTTATTAATAGGTCCCACTTCAGTGGAAAGCTTTACGTTTGGCCATATGACCATGGAAACTATCTTTAGGCAATGCTCATTTCCTTGGCCAAGAAACAGAGATGAGCACCACTCATATATATCATTCCTTTTCTGAGGAATGTGTTTTAATTCCAATATCCATCGTATTGATCTGATTGAGCACAGATCAAAATCTGAGAGTAAAAGTTCTCTTTACTCCTTTAATTCCTATGTGCCAATCAATATTCAGTGACTGTTTTATGTGCTGATTTGATAATGGAAACATTTCCTTGGCAACTGTTAGCTATTTCTTTCATGAACCCATTATCTCCTGATGCAACTGGCTAGGTGAGACAAAGTGAGGAAAAGCTAACTTCTGAACACTTCTGATCAAAACAAGAACTATACTCATCTTAATGCCCTTACAAAAAACAAATTTCTGTAATAATGGAACACATCCATACAGTAGGGCAGTGCTTAGTATCTGCTAACATTGCCAAGATAAATCTAAGTGTGTGTTCAGGTTTCTTTAAATATTCGAACCAAGGGTGAGAAAATGGAGGAGGATGTTGCTAGCTACCAGAAAAGATGATGCATTGGTCTCTTCTCAACCATCTTTTCTAATAACTTTTGCTATTCATTTTTTTATAAATATCTGGCTAACTGGCATTACTAGTAATAAAAAATGTCAAAGAAAGGTCATTCCAAAAAAGAGGAATTAAGGCGTACATGTTTGATCCTGAAGTGGCACTCCACTATAGTAACTAAAAAGTAATGGTGGGAGAGGATGATTTTACAAATATAAGGAAAATTGATCACCATTCAGGATGAAGCTTTCAAATGGTCCATTGGAAATTCTTAAAATAAACTCAACTAAAATCTAAAGATATAAGGGGTTAGGTTAGCTCATTCAATTTGACAAAAATTGGCAGTTACGTTTGAACAAGTTAATGAACAGCTTAAAGAATTGTCTTCTCATGTTGTAGCAAAATGCTGGCAAAGTATATGAAGTTGTTACCAAAAATAAATATTGATATTGGAAACGTTACAAACATTATTTGGATTTTATGTTATTCAGGATCAGAATAGACTAAATCATGTGGGTCTTAGAGAAAATGTAGAAATGTAGAAAAACTGTATATTTCATTGCAAGCTTAATGGAAAGCTATAAGACATAAAATTTTCTGATAAACATGTAGAAGGACAATTAATACTAAGATTTCTAAATGCTCTGGTGAGAGACAGCAAAATATTTGTGAGCTGGAAGACATAAATTGGGACAGAGATAAAATATTATGTTTTCAAGATATTAGTTCAATCATGTTGCAAAGAAAAGTCTTCAGCCTTTGTGGAAGAATGACCAAAACACAAAATATGGTATTAGCCTTGAAAGCCAACTGGGAAACCTTGGGCTTGTCATTTTCTCTCAGCCCAACTCACAGAATTGCTGTTGTCAGGAAAATCGGAAGAGGAAGGTGTGTTGGATATGTTCACTGCCTTCAGTTATTTGTAAAAAATAATAATAGCAGGATACAAATAACATAAAATGGGAGTTTTGTTTCTAGTTAATGTCATCTTATCCATAAAGAAGATTCCTATGTTTCAAGAGAATTGTCTACAGTATTTAATTAATTTAATTTCTCTGTCATTTAACTCCAAAACAACTCTGATTGCTTTACAGTGTTAGTAAACAACAATAGAATATAAAAGAAGGGGTGTCTGAGGGAACAATAAACAATTCTTCCACATTCTCTACAGTTTAAAGCGGTCCACCCAACTATTTTAAAGGAAGGCCTGGGGGGAAAGTCAGGTTTTTAAATTCAAGGGTTTAATTAGTCCTCTGTGAACTGCTTTTATATGTGGTCTAAATGGGTTGGGAAGTAGTTGGGGAGGGGAATGGAGAGAAAAAATGAGAAAGTGGGGAAAGGCAAAAAAAATCAATGTTTTTTCAAGATTTCTTAGACTTAATGCAAATGAATTGACTTGGAATAAAGTTTCATTGTTAATGAGTTTACTGGGTAAAAATGATAGGACAGAAGTGTAAATGGTCAGCAGTGAATAGCATAGGATAGTTTTTCTAAATGCTAGAAAGTTAGGAGATCAAATGAAAAGAATTAGAATTGGTAAATATTTAAATTTGTCTATCTGAACTTTTCTTATAAGTAACATATATATTGGGGGGAAACGACAAATATTTTGGAATAAAAATTATAATGTAATAAGCCAAAATGATTGCATTTTACTTAAAGCTAATGTTGATTTCACAGTAGAAAAGATTTAAAAAGAGATATTTTAATTAAAATGAAGTTTGATAATAAAGCCATAACATTGATTTCTGTATATGTACTTAGTCAGATTCAAATTGAGTTTCTACGAAAAGTATTGTCATGAATATATTTATTTGAAGAATTTGTTTTAGGGGCCAAATATTGGTGTAGGCACACCTGGGGAAATGGAGCAAGTTTAGGATATTTAAGTCTAGGATATTTAGGATTTAAGAATTTATGGCTTAAATATAATAGAGCAGGATCAATTAATCTATATAAGCAATTGAACATATTAAAAAAGGAAACTCTCTGGTCCTGAAGGGTTAAAAGGTGAATTTTATAAGTAATTTGAGTTTTTCTTGACATTGAGCAAACTGAAGCATCAGGGAAATTTTCTGTTCTCTTACAATTCTAAATAATTCCTAAATCAGATGAAATCCATTAGAGGTCTTTTTTTAATAGACCTATTAGACTTACATCATTTTTAATAGACCTATTGTCTGTTAATAAATAATAAACTGTTGAATAGTCATTTCAAATTTATTATGAGAAAAATTATATATCCTGATCAATCAGGCTGTTTGAATGTTCTGGTTTAGGTATATTATAGCATGCTTAGACATACAACAGCCTTCACATAACACATTTATATATTTGTCCTTCTGAAAGCTTCCCTTTGGAGACTATACTACAGGAACGTTCAGATATTGTAGGCATAGTAAAATAGCTCATAATAATGGGAATTGTAATCCAATGTATCTGTGCTTTAGAAAGCTGTAAAAATAGGGGATTTCACATTATATAAATAAAGCTTCCACAGGCATGCAGATTTATACACATTCTTCTTACACTTTTGTATATGATGATAAAATTGCTGCCATCTCTATCTCTGTTAGTGTACTTGGAGACCGCATAGTGGATTGTGCATTAAGGCAAAGGAACAACTGCTGGAGTCTTCTGTCATTGGCTATCCCCCTAAAAACACACTGTAATAAAATTACAGGAATGGTAAAAATAGAAGAATCTTTTGTTTCAATTGTTTCCTAATTTATGTGGATAGTCATTATCAATCCAATATAGTGCAGGTTCTAGAATGCCACTGAGGTGCGAACAGTAGCCCACCGCCAAAAGGATGGCTGCCAAGAAGAGAGTGAGGGAACCATTGTAAGAAACAAACCAAGTAACCTGTTGACATCTTATTCTGTACTTAGCATCTTAATTTCTGCCAAATAGTTCTTATTTTGTGAATATTATGATAATAGTTAAATCTATTCACAGTGAGATGCTGGTGTTTTTAAGTGGGGAAACTTTCTATTTTGATTGGATTATTTTGGTAGGATTCTGACCTAGTAACAAAACAAGTTAGGTTGATGAAGGAGGTGTTTATGATATGTTTTGATTCCATATTTAATGACATTGCAGGTCCTGATAAGATACCTCTCAGGGAAGAATTTGAACAGATCATGCTGAAAGCTATGCAGGAATTTACTTCAAGGGAACAATCCTTACAAATGAATGCGCCGAGCACCTCCTTGTCGCCAGCTCAACTTCCATGGCTTGCTAAGTTAATTGCTAGCGTTTCCCAAGACATGGTACATGTGGTGGTTACTCAGAATTCCTTGGCAGAAGGCATTTCTGAAACACTGCGGTCACTGACTGAAATGAAGCACCAACAGAAGGTGCCCGATTATGTGGTTGCTATCTGCACCTCGAAGATCAGAGGAAGTGAGTTCTGTGTGATAGTTTTAGGTAGGTATATTTTTTGTGTAGTATCAACTACATTTTTACTGAAATGTAATACAAATATTTGGTGTATCAGCATGCTTCAAACATATAGTTTTTGTGTTATTGTTGGATCCCAGTCAGAGAGATAAACAGACAGAAGGCTGACTGAAATCTACTTTTAAATAACCTGCTTATACGACCAACTCCAAACAAAAATCATAAATAGACAACATGAATACTCACAAGACAATATACAATATTCTGTATCCTGGCATGTGGGTTATACCATCAACTTTAACCATCAAAAACTTTCCATAGAAGTTAGTCTTGACTATCTTAGAAATGTAAAATGGATACATTCAGATTTTCAGAAACATTCCAGAAAGATGTTTCTCCCCCCTTCATTGGTGATAGCAAGAACATTGGTGCCTTTTGAAAATGGAGGGAGTGAGGGAGTAAATGATTTATCCAGCCCATTCAGCCCTTCAATTCTTGTACTTTTCCAGCCCCAACTGATTTCATATCCAGAATCATAGTCTTTGTTGTGGTTGAACTGTCCTCCCTCCTGCAATAATATGTGATAGATTTCTATGATAAGAAATAGAACAAAACAACACAACACATACACACCCAAGTGAGCAACATTTCATTTTAACTTTAAAACAATATACTAGATATTAACCCCTCAGGCAAATAATCCGATGTCTGATATGGAGGAAAGTAGATTTAACTCTGACTTGCACAATGCATTAATCTACTGGATGGGAAAGAACTAGCTTGCAAAATAGTCTGTTAAAATTTTCTACTTTTACCTGTTGCTATTTTTGGTTCTTGTTTTAAAAACATTCAGACTTTCTCAAATGGCATTAAATGAAGCTAAAGAGCTATGGGAGGTTTTGTACCATTTCTGTGTTTGATTTTTTTTATTTAGACATTATTATTCCATCTTTATTATTTTTAAAAAGTAACCCAAAATAACTCAAGGTGGAAAAACCTAATCCCCCCCCTTCCCCTTATTTTCCCATAACAACAAAGTTGTGAGGTAAATTGGGCTGAGAAAGAATGACTGGATCCAAAGTCTCCAGCTGGTTTTCATATCTAAGATAGGACTAAAGTTCAGTCTCCTGATTTCTAGTCTGGTGGCTTAAACTGGCTATTATTAATATAGGTTAGAAACCAAATATGGTGACAGAAAGAGACAGATTTGTATGTTTCAATCACTGTTTTGCAGATTTAGAGTGCTAAATGGTTTAACAATCTTACCTAGGTTTACTCAAAGATATCAGTGTGTGGTTCATTTGTTGGATTTAGACCAGGGAGAGTCAAGTCCTGCTCAACCCCTGAGTCAACTGGATGACCTTGGACCAGTAATACTATGTCATCCTACCTCAAGATGTATTTTGGGGAGGATAAAATTAGAGACAGACTTCTAATTTATGCCTCCTTGAAATCTTGGATAATGTAATAGTTAAATAAAACTTGTTTCTATGTGAATGTATGTAAGATTTTAAACATTAGCACCACACATGAATACATATAGGAGTTGTAATTTAATTCAATCAGCTATATGTCCCCAGATGTGGGAAATTAATAATCTACAAACCAAATTTGTATTTTAATGATAGATTAGAATGCAAAATGCATTTGCTGGTTCAGTGAGATCTGACGTAGTTGGGACTGAAGGCAGAGTTTCCATCAATAAATCCTTTTTGTTAATGTTATGCTTTCCCTTTCAGAAGGTGAGCTACTACGTAATAGGTTTCTGGAAGAGTAGTTTAAAAAAATCTTTACTACATAATGAGAGATTACAAGTTTATATATCCAGAAGTTTTAGATTGTCAAGATGGTTGGGTAAATAAAAGATATACTGGAGTCTTCATTACATAAGGCTACTTAGCTTTTCTGGCAAGTATTAAAAGAAAAACAGAAAGGAAAAATTCACATAAGCAAAGTCTTGATCTTTTTTTATCTTGTCGCACCTCACCCTCTCATATTTCCATAGGTCAATACCAGTCTAGAGCTCTGGCAGAGAGCATGCTTACCACCAGTGAGTTTTTAAAGGAGATAAGTTACGAGCTCATTACAGGAAAAGTTAGTTTTCTGGCATCACATTTCAAAAACACATCTTTAGGTAAGTGAATCTTACAGTCTGCCATTACTTTGATGTGTCCATTTACAAAAATAATCACCTCAGAAATTAACAATTTTAATGCTGATTATTGCAGGCTATCATTTTAAAAGATTAAGGTAATCTTGATCCATAAAATTGATTCAGAAATTTTATGAAGGAGTGCATGTGTAAAAGTAAAGAAAAAGAGATAATAGGAAGAAAATAATTTTATTTTCCTCAGTTCTTAAAAGCATCAATTTATTTCCTCTTAATGTTACCTTATGCTGTAAGAGCTCCCCCTCCTGTTTAATACAAATGAATCATTTGGTGCAAACTTTATTAATTTAATTATCTCTTCTATCAAGCTTGTGTGTTTTGCCCAGGCAGGAGAGAAATTTGAGGGCAATAGACTAAGTTTTCTTTTCAAATAATGCTGGTAATCAACTATTATTTTCAATCTTTTGATTCTAAAATCTAACACACTCAGTCTACAGTTTCCTCTTTGAAATTAACTTTGGCAGGAGCTTCCTAAAATCACCCAATCAGTTATAAAAACAAAACATCGCTTCAACATTGATTGAGTGAAACTTTACATCACAAATGGTGTTCTTGCCTTAAAGTTGCAGGCCTTTTAACTGAAGCACCTGGCTTTAAAGTGTTGGCACAACCCTCCTGAGCAAATCCACTCTGATACTTCTCCACATCCACAAATTCATACCTTGAAGTAATGAAACAGCCGAGAATAAATGAGGCTCTGGGTACTCATGTTTAAAGTAATAACATGACTTTCCCCCATTTCTTACAAAATATTTAATGAGACAAATATTTATACTATGAGTGACTTCTCTACCAGGTGACGAGTTGGACAAGTTATTAGAGATGATGCAACAGAGACGGGGAGATAACGTCGTTATTCCGTTCAGTGGAGATGTTAATGAATGTGTATCATCTCAAGAAGCAGCTGCCATGGTTTCCACTCAAGCACTGGGTAAGGATTATCACATAAGAAATAATTTATGTCAAACATTAGTCTGTACATAGCAATAGCTATAGCACATACATACCGAGGTGGCGCAGTGGTTAGGGTGCAGTACTGCAGGCCACTTCAGCTGACTGTTATCTGCAGTTCAGCGGTTCAAATCTCACCGACTCAAGGTTGACTTCCATCCTTCCATCCTTCCGAGATGGGTGAAATGAGGACCCGGATTATTGTT